AGCTAAAAGGTTTCATTTTTCCCATTGAAGAGTTCAATGGTCCTTGAACTCCATATCCATTGAATGTCAATATGACATTCCACAATGGTAGAGTTTAATCCATTGAATGCCAATTATGTATGCCACCTCAATCAACTCTCTCATTGAACTATACATTGTGAATGCTTTAATATAAAACTTCCTTACATCATTGATCAATGTTGAAACCGTCGATCTTTTGAATTTTTTGATACATGCATAATTATCTATAAACTAATATATTAATTTAGATACAAAATCTATAAATCTATTTTAATCATTGATATAGATATTTATTTTCTATAAACTAATATATTAATTTAGATACAAAACCAATAATTCTATTATAATCATTGATATAGATATTTATTTTTTGAAAATATTGTTTTTTCATTCTTTTTTATTAATCCTCTGTAATCCTCTTGAAGCGTTGAATGTTGAAATGACTTTTACTGAAGTGTTGACACAAATATATCATGTGGTGAGTAGGAAAGCGCTTGATGCAGGTGATGATCCTTTGGGGTTGCCTAAAGTACATATGATTAATGTTGGGAGTAAGGATGATGTTTCAGATGTTAAGAAAGTTGGTTGCTGTTCGGCTTAAGAACGAACGTTTTTATTTAAAATTGCTAAAAAATCTATTGTGTTCTATTTTATATGATGATTTGGAGACGGTTTTGTTGAAGGAAACTTGGAAATTGGTTTGAATTTGGTCATTCAAATTCGTTATTTTTAGATTTTAAACTACACAATTATTGTTAGTTGCATTGATGTTTTTGGATTTTTTGTCGTGATCTTTTTTGGTTTTACTTGTCTTGTTTGTTCCCCTTTTTATGTGTATGTACTATCCATTTAATTTTAATCACGATCAAGTGCTATGATTTTTTTGTTTGTTTGTTTGTTGGCAAATTGGGTATTCGTGTTCTGATCAACCAACTTTTAATGCATTATTTATGGTATTCATGGCAATAATACTTTAACACACCAATCTTTTCCTGATCCTCAAATTTTATCAATAAAACATATATTGCCATCAAACAATCGATTACGGACAAGTTAATGAGGATTGGTTACAAGTTATTCTCGTAAGTTGTATACGATTGTTTTTAATTGTTTAAGAGAAATCTTCAGAAAAGTCTTAATATTTTGAGAAATCTTTTAATAAAGTCTTAAATTTTATTTTTTGAGTAGAAAAGTCCGGACTTTTTAATTTTTGAATAGGAAAGCCAAGAAACCGGCTAATTTATTTACTTTAACCATTTTTGACATGTTCAGCAGGTTATGAGACAAAATCGTTATTTTTTCCAAAAAAATAAGACTTTTCTGCAGATTTCGTCAAAACTTATATATAATGTATAAACGTATTTTTTTATGTATTTATATCTATTTTTACGTATTTATGTATATATATATTTTTAAGTTTTTATATGTATAAGTTTACGTATTTATATGTATTTTTAAGTATTTTACATATTCTTATAGATGATTTTCATACACACCCACATATTTTAAGTTTTTCCCATTCGGTTATCTTGAAATTAAACATCGAATGAGAAAAACTTAAAATATATGAGTATGTAGGAAAACAATCTAGATATACTCGTAGAAGCTGTGCGAATTGGATGAAATTGTGAATACGACTTGAAGTAAAAAATACATAAATATGTAAAAATAATACGGTTATACATTTAAAATACATAAAAAGACATAAACATCTACATAAAAAACTGAAAAATACATAAATACACAAAAATACATATAAAGACATAATACAAAAAAACACATAAAAATACACAACATATGTAAAATACTTAAAAATACATACAAATACGTAAAAAAATATGTTTATACATTTAAAATACATAAAAATATATAAACAACTATATAGAAAACTTGAAAAAAAAATACATAAAAATACATATAAATACGAAATACATAAAATACACATAAAAGATGTAAAATACTTAAAAATACATATATATCGTAAAAAATACATTTATACATTTAAAATACATAAACATTTATATAAAAAACTTAAAAAATACATAAATAAGTAAAATTACATATAAATGCGTAATACATAAAAAAAATAACACATAAAAAATATGTAAAATTGTTAAAATACATATAAATACATAAAAAAATATGTTTATACATTTAAAATACATAAAAATACGTAAACATATACATATAAAAACTTAAAAAATACATAAAAATAGATATAAATACTAAAAAATTACGTTTATACATTATATATAAATGTTGATGAAATATGCAGAAAAGACTCATTATTTCGGAAAATTAACAATTTGGTCCAATGACCTATTGAAAAGGTCAAAAAGGGCTAAAGTGAATAAATTAGATGGATTCTTTGGTTTTTCTATTCAAAAAACTAAAAAGTCAAAACTTTTCAGTTCAAAAAAATAAAATTTAAGACTTTATTAAAAAAATTTCTAAAATATTGTGTCTTTTCCGGAAATTTCGTTTTGTGTAATACACAACGTCAGGAAATTCTCACTTTGTTAATAATACCTGACAAATTACACAAAAATTATGATCTATCATCAAAAGATAATGAATCCTAGGACAATGTATCGAGGAATAAAAGGTTTTTATTTTTAAATTATTTGAAAAAAACTTAACTACCCTAATAATGCCACCTCTTTGGCCTAGTGCAACATGTTTAAGGAAAAAAAAAAGTTAATATTACAAAAGTCATTAAGATTACATCAAAATTCTAATTTGATATTATGTTTTTTTTCTCAATTTTGATAATGTGTTATCCAACTTTTTACAATTTTGACCACTTGACCGTTCAATTCAGTTGTCTGCTGACGTGGCATGATGACGTGACATGATAACGTGACATGCTAACGTGTCAAAATTGAAATTTGTTTTCACAAAACACACCAAGTTTTTATTTTTTTCAATTTTGATGGTACATTTTAAATTTTTTTTGACACTCTATTTTTTTTGTTTCAAATCTAATATTGTTTTTTTTTCAATTTTGTTCAATGTCGACCATTTTCCATTTTAAATGGTATAAACTAGCTTTACATAATATTAACATATTTTGCTATCTAAACTTTTGTGACAGCACGGGAGCACGGGGCCACGGGCCAATGACTGTCAATAATCCACTGCTAATCTGTTACTATGTTTTAAAATTATGGTATTATATTTTGTGGGAGTTTCATCGTTAATTAGGGATGAATTTTGTGGTTCCATCACTAACTAGGGATGTATGGATTCCATATTTCATTCATTTTAATCTCCAAAATAAAAACATTAATTAACTTTTTTTGGATATTAATTTCATTTCGTCGGCTGGTGAATAGTATTGTTGAATAATTTACTGTCGCAAAATAATCTATTTTAGTAAAAAAAGATATTTGGGATTATTTTCCTTTTGATGGTTGTCTTAATTTATTTTAATGAATTGCTTTTTTTTTTTTTTAGGAGTTCAAGTACTTAGCAAAAGTAACCAAACATAAAAATATATGATGTAGTTGGATTCTAATTCACCATAATTTCTTAGAATTAGTGAACCAAACAACCTATTAGTGTTTGAGCTAAAATAAAGTGTGAACGCAAAAATAAACTATTTTTAGTTATATTTCCATGTATTACATAAAACATGCGACATATATTTATTGTTCCTACTCGCTTTAGCATTTGTAAGATGTGCGTTTTTAGTTTATTTATTGAAGGTGAAAATTTGAAAAGGAATATTTTGTTTGTCGATTGTTTTAATAATGTATGTCGCTTTTATGTTTTTTGTTTGTGTTTCCATCCGCTGGGTAAATAAAATAGAAATATGAATTCGAAATCAGTAATGAAAAATACCAAATTTTCACTTCAAGTGTTACATGTTTTATAGTTAAAAGTTCCGGGACGGATATGAATTATGAAAATGGTGTTTGCCAATATTGCATAGGTCTGAGAGGAGCTTCTAACCCTTATCATTTTCAATCAATTAACATTTACCATTTGGTCAATAATGATCATTTTTAAACCTTTATCGTTGATCATATTTTATCGTAAGTATGTACATATAAGTATTTAGTAGGATATAAGACATGTGATTATGAAAAAAAAAAAATCGTAGGTATTTTGAAAAACAAATATCTTTCATTATTTTAATATATGTGCTCATAGTTATTTTATTACGTTATCAAATCAACATTTATTTACAATTAATTACTTATTAAAAGATTCTATAAGACTTTTCATTCAAAAATTCAAAAGCATGTTAACTTAAATATTTAGAAACAAAAGAATATGGTACTAACAATACAAACAATTACAAAAATAAAAAAAAAAATATTCATCCTTCATAACTACCAAATATTCTTCCAATCATTTAACAGTAGATTCAATTAAATTTTGTAAAGAGCAAGTTTTAAAGGCTATAAATCACTAATTTCCCACATGAAAACATAAAAAAAATTTTAATAAATGATCAATCAAAACCGTTAACAAAAACGATATACATGATAGATTCATAATAGGTGGCAATGTAAAGCGACTACATCTACATTTCATTTTAAACGGATATGAGCATGAAGTGGCTAGTTCAAAAATAGGAATTGAAAATCATTTTAGCCTCGTTTGTTCCAAATTCCAAATTCTAAGCAAATTACCGTATTGTCAATTTGGATGTATTGTCTTTCTTCAGTTAGCATTACT